GAGGAGAGGGAGAGGGAGATGCTGTGGGTATTCTCTGGCCTGGAGCACGATCTTGTAGCTTTCAACCAAGTAACTGCATGAGAGCATTGTGGTGGAAGGGAAAGATCCCAGATCGAGAGAGACACATTCGGGTTTCAATTCCTGCTTCTTCTCAATACCTGGGTAACTACCAAATCTAGGATTGTAACATGTGAGATAGATTGTAACATGCCTGGTGTTGCATAGGGGTCATTTATTGTCTTAAGAGCTACAACTTTGTATTGATTTGAGGCTTTGGAATTACACAACTGCATAATTTGCATTTTCTTATGATATTTGATTCTGGTTGAAATCAACTGGAAAGACCTCAGATTTTTTTAGTTGAGATCAAATGGGAGCCAAACAATGGAGTGTTACCTTAATGAACTGGCTGGTCCTTAGGGAAGCTGGGGTGTTGATGAAGCTACCACATTGTGTCACAATTTCTAATTCCATTTTTCTAACATAGTCTAGGAAGTGATTGCTTTCAACCAAAAGATCACCAAGAATGCCCCAGTGGCTTTACTTCAAATTGGACCTTAAGACAAAATTTTGGCTTATTTCTGTTTAGCATCCCCATTCTAAGATCTTCTGGGTTGGAGATCTGATATTCCAGGGGTCTGGTTTTAGCTTCCAAGCTCCGGCCCTGCCCGACTTTCTGGTTTTGTTTTTGCTTTGTTTGCCAGGGGCCAGAAGCTGAGCCTCAGCACCAGGGTCCTATCTAAACAAAGGCCCAGCTCGCTACCGTCCCCAGGGGGTGGGGGCGGGCGGGTGGAGGGAGGAGGGGGAGCTGGCCGGCACTGCTGGGACCTGTTGGTGTTTGTTTTCCGTTTCCTCTCACTGGGACATTTGCACATTCAGCAGATCTGCTTGCTGGGTTTCCAAGTCTGTCAATTTCAAAGAAAGTAAAGTAAAATCAAACAACCCACTTCCCTTACGGTACATTTCAAAATTCGAAGAATGAACAAGGTAGATCTGGGTTGCCTCTCTGCCGCACATGGAGGGACACTTGGGAAACTGGTTTGGTCAGCTTGGGGTGGACAGATACCTTTCTCTAATTCAAGCATAGTTCAGAGACAGCAGTTGAACACCAATGAATATTTGGCAGATTTCCCTAAAATTGGTCAGGAGCTCTCTGCACTAAGCCAGTGAGGCAGCAGACCATCCACGGGCAGGGCCTTGGCCGTTCTGGCACCTCCCTGCCTCCTTTTGGGGTCACAGCTCAGGCACCCCCTCCCAAGGATCTCTCCACGTCTCTCCCCTCTGCTTGCCTGTAGGCCTGAAACTCCTCACAGGGCTCTAACCTTTGATGAGTCTTGCAAGGGGTGCATTCCAGAGCATACGTTTCTCAAGAGATGTTTTTCGCCCCTCATCTGTAGAAAACAGCCCAAGATTTGCCTTATAATAAGTATTTAGGGGCCGGTGTTGTGGCACAGTGGGCTAAGCAGCTACCTGCAACACCTGCATCCCACATGGGCACTGTTTCTAGTCCCAGTTGCTCCACTTCCGATCCAGCTCCCTGATAATGCACCTGGGAAAGCAGCAGAAGATGGTCCAAGTGTTTGGGCCCCTGCACCCATGTAGGAGACCAGGAAGAAGCTCCTGGCTCCTGGCTTCAGCCTGGCCCAGTCCTGGCCATTAAAGCCATTTGGGGAGTGAACCAGTGGCTGGAAGATCTCTTTCTGTCTCCTCCCTCTCTCTGTAACTCTGTCTTTCAAATAAATAAATATTTTTAAAAAATTAAATTCAGAGTACATAGATTGTGGTCAGGATTGTTTCATGAAACTTGGTTTAGGTTTTGCTTGTTAAAAGACAAAATTACAATTAGTTTTAAAGTCTTAATTGGCTTTTCTTGTGATTCCAGAATCCAGCAACACTCCATCACATAAAACAGAGTAAGGGTCCCAATCTGAGCAGAAGAGGTGGGCTTCACAGACAGCGAAGAAACAGAGATAGAAGACAAGGAAGATTGGTTATTTCAGCGGCTTGCCTTGTAAGGTGGGGACAGACAGACAGAACAACAGGCAAATCACTGCTTAGCTGCCATCAAGTTATTTCAGGTTACTTTTGTGTAAGATTAACTCCATTATCAGGCCCACTGGAACAGGCCTGTTTGCAGTACGTGGAGGTTATCTCTCTTACTCTGATTTCTCTGAAAGTCAGATAAACAGTTTGGTAACTTGTAGCCTGAGTGACTCCATTTTGGTTTTTAGCACTGCCTGTTGGGGCCTGGTGCAAGAGCTGAGCACAAAGCAATGGCTTCCGGTCAGTTTTGCTTCACAACTTCATACGTGCAGGTACTGGGTCATGGGTGAACGTACTTCCTACAGTGTGTCGGGCTGGGAAACTTGAACGACAGTGAGTTAGATGATAAATAAGGCCTCTCTCCTCGCAATCCGTGTGAACCACCTAAAAGACGGAGGGCAGCAAGGCGGGCAAGCATGGAAGAGAGACATCAGGAGAGCTCAGAACGGGAGCAAGCGGAAGAACGCAGAGCCAGGAGGAGAACGCCGCAGAAGTGACCACAGAAGCCCCCTGGAGACGGCCGTCCAGCGGGCCCTGTCCCACCCTCCCGGCCTTCAGCCTCTGACCCGTCCACTGCCTTTCTTCTGCTGACTTGGAAACTACGTGCGTCCTGGCACTGTTTCCTCCCCCAGCACCACTCCCATTTCCCCATTCCCCTCACCACCACCACCCCCACCTGCTTCTCGGGCACCCACATAAGCAAGCAGACCCCGCGGCGCGGCGCTGGGAGTGAGCGGTCTGTGCGCGCAGGGAAGCGCGTGCGTGTAAAGCGGCAGGCGAAGGTCCATGCAGTGGGTAGCACGGATTCTCCGTGGGAGCCGGGTCTCCCCAGGGAGCAGATCGGTGTAAACTGAAAACATATATTCCAATTCCCAACCAACGCTTCAGGCCACAGGCAGAAACGTGTAAACGTGCTTGTTTTTGAACCACAGGGAGATCCTCTCAGCGCCCGCCGCCCTCCCCGCAGCCTAACCTCAGGTCTTTGTTGCAGCGGGACGAGGCCAGCCTGGGAGACCCAAACACAGGGACAGAGAAACGGGTCTTTGACATCCTGCTGCAGAATGACTGATGGAAGGGTTTGTGAGATTCTTAGAAACCGAGGTGTTTTTTTTTAGCATTTAAGGAACAACAACAAAGAGTACCGCTCTCTTCTTCTCTGCCAGGGGAAGCCCAGGCCCGAGGAAAGGAGAGACCTTGGTGGACAGTTACAGGACAGTGCTGAACCGAACCCGGAAGGCAGGGACGTTCGCAAGGCCTGCGGAGGAGATGTCACAGCCCAGACAAGCTGAGTCCCTGCCTGGAAAGGCAAAGGTGAGCGGCTAACTGCCAGCATTCCAGGGCTCTCCTGTGCCACTGGCCAGTCAAGTGGATCAGCTGCCCTCTGCCGTCTGGCCTGACTGCCCTGGCTCTCATTCGTACCTTGTAGTTACATGCATAATCAAGCATGCAATGATGGCTTCCATTGCCAGGGACTTTTAAAGGCAATTTACATACATTCAACTGCACTGTGGGCATCTATTGTTCCCATTTTTAGAAGTTAGGGAGCTGAAGCACACAGAGGTTAAGTACTTGGCCCAAGGCTGCTCAGGTAGAGAGAGGTGTCAGGGATTGAGTCAGGCTCAGCATCCTGGCTTGAGGGTGTGTGATGCCAATGGGAGTCACCTGCTCTCATTCCTGAGCAAGGGGAGGAATCGTTTAAAGAGGAAGCGTGGAGGGGGAGCGTGCTGTGGTGTAGCAGGTCAAGCTACAGCCTGCAGCGCCGGCATCCCATATGGGTGCAGGTTTGAGTCCCAGCTGCTCGGCTTCTGATCCAGCTCCCTGCTTATGGCCTGGGAAAAGCATCAGAAGACGGCCCAAGTGTGTGGAAGCTCCTGGCTCCTGGCTTTCGCCTGGCCCAGCCTGGGTCATTGCAGCCATTTGGGGAGTGAACCTGTGGATGGAAGATCCCTCTCTATCTGTCTCTCCTTCTTTCACTGTAGCTCTGCTTTTCAAATAAATACATAAATAAATCTTTACAGAGGAAGCGTGGAGACACTGCCCGGAGCCCTGCCGGGCGGAAGGCAAGTGCAGTGTGGTCACTCTGGCCCTCCTCTGGAGATGCCGTGGCCTGCAGCGTCAGTCTTCACACATTTTTGCTCTTGTGTTTTTTGAAAAACCATGAATTCCCTGATACATTTTAAACTTGTAACTGGAGGCCATTATGCTTAATGAAATAAACCAGAATCAAAAAGACAAATATCACGTTTTCTCAGATCTGTGGTAGTTAATATATAGAGAGAGAATATAAAAGATTCACTGTAGGGGCTGGTGCTGTGGCGTAGTGGGTAAAGCTGCCACCTGTAGCGCCAGCATCCCATATGGACACTGGTTTGGGTCCTGGCTGCTCCATTTCTGATCCAGTTCTCTGCTATGGCCTGGGAAAGCAGTAGAAGATGGACCTTGTCCTTGGGCCCCTGCATTCATGTAGGAGACCCGGAAGAAGCTCCTGTCCCAGCTCTGGCAGTTGTGGCCATTTGGGGAGTGAACCAGTGGATGGAAGACCTCTCTCTCTCTCTCTCTCTCTCACTCTCTGCCTCTGCCTCTCTGTAACTCTGTCTTTCAAATAAACAAATAAATCTTAAAAAAAAAATAACAACTAGCCTTGACCCCCCTACTCTCACACACAAATAGTTATGAAGATACAAAATAAAATTAATTTAAAAATTTTAAAAATAAAGAGGAAGTATGATTATAATTAGAATTGTATCTAGGGACTATATTAAATCTGTTCTCTTTAACAAAAAAAAAGTAAATAAAAAAGGGAAGAAAAGAAATTCGCAACTAACAATTTTCATTGAAGTTTAAAGAGCTGGGGGGCTGACACTGTGGTGCAGTAAGTTAAGCCTCTTTGAGTCCCAGCTGCTCCTCCTTTTTTTTTTTAATTTTTTTTTTTTTTTTTTTTTTTTTGGACAGGCAGAGTGGACAATGAGAGAGAGAGAGAGAGAGAGAGAAAGGTCTTCCTTTACTGTTGGTTCACCCTCCAATGGCCGCTGCGGCAGGCACATTGCACTGATCCGAAGGCAGGAGCCAGGTGCTTCTCCTGGTCTCCCATGGGGTGCAGGGCCCAAGCACTTGGGCCATCCTCCGCTGCACTCCCTGGCCACAGCAGAGAGCTGGCCTGGAAGAGGAGCAACCGGGACAGAATCTGGCGCCCCGACCGGGACTAGAACCCGGTGTGCCGGAGCCGCAGGTGAAGGATTAGCCTATTGAGCTGCAGCGCCGGACAGCTGCTCCTCTTCTGATCCAGCTCTCTGTTACGGCCTGGGAAAGCAGTAGAAGATGGCCTAAATCCTTGGGCCCCAGCACTCACATTTAGCAGGATTAGGGAAGGGTAAGAGGTAAACTTTTTTTTCTTTTCAAAAAAATTTTTATTCAGGGGCTGGCGCTGTAGCTCAGCGGGTTAACACCTTGGCCTGAAGTGCCGGCATCCCGTATGGGCACTGGTTTGAGTCCTGGCTGCTCCTCTTCCGATCCAGCTCTCTGCTATGGCCTGGGATAGCAGTAGAAGATGGCCCAAGTCTTTGGGCCCCTGCACCTGCATGGGAGACCTGAAAAAAGCTCCTGGCTCCGGGCTTTGGATCGGTGCAGCTCTGGCCGTTGCAGCCATCTGGGGAGTGAACCAACGGATTGAAGACCTCTCTCTCTGTCTCTACCTCTCTGCAACTCTACCTGTCAAATAAATAAAATAAATCTTTAAAAAAATTTTTTTATTCATTTAATTTCTTCAAAAGGCAAAGATGAGAGAGAAAAAGTGAGAGACATAGACAGACTGGGAGGGAGCTCCCATTCACTGGTTCATTTCCCAGATGCCTGCAACAAGCTGTCACCTGCCGCTTCCCAGGCTGCACATTGTCAGAACTGGGACTTGAACGCAGTCACTCCAATATAGGATGCAGGCATCTTAACCTCTTAACCATTGCACTGAATGACTGTCCCCCGCTCCCCCGCTTCCTTTTTTTTTTTTTTTTTTTTTTTTTTTTTGGTAGAGTGGGAAGACAGTATTTGAGAAAATGAGATGAGAAAAGAAATTTGGGGCTGCAAACGCTGTTAAGGCACATTGGCACATTGGTTTCGGGGAGATGGAAGACCTGGAAACTGATTCTTTTGAAACTGCTGACAGCCCCAACCCCCTGGAAAGTGTCCAGGTACCCTAACCACAAGCAGCTCTACCAGTCTCCATGGGAATTGTGCTTCACACCGCCACCAGCCACGCCTGCCACACCTGCCTGGGAGGAGGGGCTGGGGCAGGGTAACAATCACCAGACACTGCCCTTTGTTGCTTACCCACCAGATTTACACAACCAGTCACCCCTTCAAGGACCTTCTGAGTCATTCTGGAGTCTCTGCGGGTGGCTTTCTCAGGTTCACAAGCTGATCCCCTTGGCCCTTTGTGGCTTATCTTTTGTAGCTTGGTGCAGCAAGAGAGGCAGCCCCTTATCTGCTGGAACAAACCCAGTAGTGGCCCTTATCTGTGGTGTTGCTTTATGAGGTGTTTAGTTACCCCGTAATGGCAGTCTGAAAATATTAAATGAAAATTTCCAGAAACAAAAAATTCGTAAGTTCTTATTTACATATTTGAGAGGTAGAGCGAGAAAGTGACAGTCAGATGGAGCGCCCATCCACTGGGTTATTTTCCAAGCACCTACAATGGCTGGGGATGGACTAAGGCTGAAGCCAGGACCTGGAAACACAATCCAGGACTCCCATTTCGGTGGCAGGAACCCAAGAGTCAGGGGCTGGAACTGGGAGTCAAACCCAAACCCAGGTACTCCCATGTGGGAGAAGGGAATCTTTTTTTTAAACAGATTTATTTATTTAAAAGGCCTGTGTGTGCACGCGCACACACACACACACACACAGATCTTCCATTCACTGATTTAATCCCCAAATGCCTGCAGCCATTAGGCTGGGCCAGGCTGAAGCCAGAAGCCAGGAGTTCCATCCTATTCTCTCCCATGGTGGTAGGGATCCAAGTACTGGGGCCATCATCTGCTGCCTCTCTCCCAGGATGCCTTAGCAGGGAGCTGAATTGGAAGCAGAGAAGCCAGGATTTGGTCCTGCAGGCATCCCAAGCTGTGGCTTGATCTGTTGTGCTACAATGCCCACCCCAACAGGGCATCTTAACCACTGGGTACTGCGTGCTCTGCAGGCTGTATTCTTTTGTTTTATATATATATATATATTTCTTTGTTATATATATATATTTTTTGAAAGAGGTCAGAGAGGAAGGAGAGACATAGAGAGATCTTCTTTCTGCTGGTTTACTTCCCAGATGGCCTCAATGGTCAGGGTTGGGTTAAGCCAAAGCCAGGAGCTTCTTTCAGGTCTCCAACATGGATGACAATGGCCAAGACCCTTGGGCCACCTTCCACTGCCTTTCTCAGGTGTATTAGCAGGGAACTGGATTGGAACTGGAACAGCTGGGACGTGAACTGATGCCCATATGGGACGCCAACATTGCAGGTGGTGGCTTTACTTCCTATGCCACAGTGCCGGCCCCAGGGCTAAATTCTTAATTCTAAATGCAACTTCATTATTTTAGCTCTTGGTCAGGACAGCCTTTGGTTTGTTAAGCCCACATACATGCACCTGTTGTTTGTCTGTTTAACTTTTATTTTTATTTATTTATTTTTAAGATTTATTTATTTGAAAGGCTGAATTACAGAGAGACAGAGAGAGAAAGAGAGATCTTCCATCTGCTGGTTCATTCCCCAAATGGCCGCAAAGGTTGGAGCTGGGCCAGGCCGAAGTCAGGAGCCTGGAGCTTCTTCCAGGTCTCCCAAGCACGTGGGCCATCCTCTGCTACTTCCCCATGCACATTAGCAGGGAGCTGGATCAGAAGTATAGCAGACAGGACTTGAGCTAGCATCCACACAGGATGCTCAAGTCACGTGTGGTGGCTTCACCCACTGTGCCACAATGCTGGCCCCTTAACTTTATTTATTTAAGAGAGAGAGAGAGAGACAGGGAGCTCCAAACTCCTGGTTCACTCCCCAAATACCTGCAACAGCTGGGACCAAACGAGGCCAAGGCCAGGAGTCAAGAATCCAATCCAAATCTTCAGCATGCATGGCAGGGACCCAACACTGGGGCCGTCACCTGCTGCCTTCTATTGTGCACTCTAGTGGGAAGCTGGAATCAGAAGCCAGAGCCAGGACATGAACCCAGGCACCCCAATATGGGATATAGGCACCACAAACAGTGTCTTAACTGCTAGATCAAACTGCCTACCTCCCACATACCCTAATATGGACATAATGCAGCACTGGATATCATTCATTATTGGTTATGCAATAATGTACATCAAAGCTACCATGGATGAATTAAAACCAGAAACTTCCAAGTCCACCATGTGGGTGCAAGGGCCCAAGCACTTGTCCATCCTCTGCTGCTTTCCCAGACAAGCAAGGAGCTGGATCAGAAATAAAGCAGCTGGGACTTGAACTTGCTCCCATATGGGATGCCTATGTCTCAGGCATCGGCTTAACCTGCTATGTCACAGCACTGGTTCCTCATGAATGATTTTAAAAGGCTTCCTGGAAATCAATGGAGAAGTCAGGAAAAGCATTCACTCAGCAAGACAACTTGGTGGAGAAGGATTTACCAACATGTATGATAAAGAAGTAGAACACAGTGAAGGTCATTGAGAAGAGTTAAAAAGGAGGCATTGGAAGAACAGGTTGAGTCACCTATGGAATAAGTGGAAGGTGAAGAAGAGACTGAAGCAGAAGCAGCAAAGTGGACATCACAGAAATTTGCTCAACTGTGTTTCAGCTTCTACAGACAGTTAAAGGGCAATATTGCGGAATGCAATCCTTGGATGGGACACAGCATTGCAGTCACTCCTGTGATCACCAGAAGATCAACCTCAGCAGCCCCACTTTGATGATTTCAACAGGGAGAGATGTTGGAGCTTGGACAATGACACCCCGGGGAGGGGAGTGGGGTGCAATTACACCACCACTTGGCATGCCCACATCCCACATCTGAGTACCTGGAATGGAGTCCTGCCTCTGCCTCTGATCCAGCTTGCTGCTAATGCCCATCCTGGGAGGCGGTGGGTGATGGCTCAAATGCTTGCCCCCTGCCCCTGTTTTTGATTGGGTAATGCTTCATTCCATACATATTCATGGCATGTGTTCTGAGGGCTGAGCAGAAAAGCTTGCATTTAGAGAAAGAGAAAGGCTGGAGAAAGCAGAAACAAGGAACAAAAAGCAGATTGGTCTTTCCAAACTTACTTTTGTTGTAAGGTGAGGACAGAACAATAGAAAAATAACTGATTGGCTAACAGTAGGTTATTTCAGTTGCCTAGGAATTGTTTATCACATCGATTGATACTGGCCTGTTGAGGGTATTTAGTTGTTATCTATCTAATTCTGAATTCTTGGAAGAGTCAGATAAATAGCTTGGTAACATGGAACTAGGAACAAACTGCTCTTAAAAACCTGCAAAGTCTGCAGGAGAAACACCCAGTGAGACCTGTCTGAGCAGTGTTGGGACAGAGCTCTGAATCTGGCCACCAGGTCCCTGTGACGAGGGTGATGTGGCCATTGGGTCTGTTTCATCTCATCTACCTGGAGCCACCTTGTGTAATCCTCCTTTTTTTATATACAGAGTGGACAGTGAGAGAGAGAGACAGAGAGAAAGGTCTTCCTTTTTGCCGTTGGTTCACCTCCAACGGCTGGTGCACCGTGCTGATCCGATGGCAGGAACCAGGTGCTTCTCCTGGTCTCCCATGGGGTGCAGGGCCCAAGCACTTGGGCCATCCTCCACTGCACTCCCTGGCCACAGCAGAGAGCTGGCCTGGAAGAGGAGCAACCGGGACAGAATCCGGCGCCCTGACTGGGACTAGAACCCGGTGTGCCGGCGCTGCAAGGCGGAGGATTAGCCTATTGAGCCACGGTGCCGGCCAATCCTTTGTTTTAATCTCTATGTTCCTTACCTCTTCCCAGAACAATTAATCATCAGCCTTCTTTTCAGGGCCAGTGTTTTTAACTAATCATGTTCAAAACAAGTAATTTCTAGCCTGTGAGAAATGTGCTTTCATTTAAAACCTACCCTTTCAGACCCAGCTGATGGATGATCCCTGTGTAATGATAAATGGAAATTTGCCATCATGGAATACATAAATTCTGTTTACAATCTGGCCACTTGGGAACGCTTCCCAAGACTCTGAAAGCTGTTGGGCAGACATGCGTTGTGGCTCAGCAGGTTAAGCCTTGGCCTGGACACCTCCATCCCATGTTGGGGTGCCGGGCTGAGTCCTGGCTATTCTGGAACCTGCCATGCATGGTGGAGATGTGAATGGAATTCTGGGCTTTTGACTACAGCCAGGTCCAACCCTGGCTGTTGTGGGTATTTGGAGAATGAACTAGCTGGTGGTAGATCTGTCTTTCCCTGTCTATCACTCTGCCTTCAAGTAGATGAAAATAAATAAATATTTTTAAAAGTCATGGTTCTGGTGTCTCCTGAGCTGAGAGCACTCTCATTCTGCCCTGAATAAGCCTTATAATAACCTTTTCACGGAGTCTGTTTCTGTTGATGGAACTTTAGCGTGAGTGATTCCATTTTGATTTTTTAGCCTGGCCTGTTTGGACCTAGAGCAGGAGCTTGGTCCAAAACAAGGGCCTCCTGTAATTTTTATTTAATAATCCCAGTGTCTAATGCAGCACCTGGACAGAGCAGGTATTTGAATGTTGGTGCTGACTTTGATGTCATGCCCTTTGTAGAAACTTAGAGTAAAAAACAGTTGGGGCTGGTGCTGTCCCGTAGTGGGTAACTGCTGCCTGCAGTGCCAGCATCCCATATGGGCACTGGTTTGAGTTCTGGATGCTCCATTTCTGATCCAGCTCTTTGCTGTGGCCTGGGAAAGCAGAAGATGGCCCGTGCTTGGGCCCCTGCACCCACATGGGAGACCTGGAGGAAACGCCTGGCTCCTGGCTTCGGATCAGCCTAGCTCCAGCTGTTGCAGTGATTTGGGGAGTGAACCAGCAGATGAAAGACTTCTCTCTCTCTGCCTCTGCCTCTCTGTAACTCTGCCTTTCAAATAAGAAACGAAATCTTAAAAAAAAAAAAAAAAAAAGGTGACTCCATTTGCATGTAGTAGTGTCCGTCCCAGCAAGGGGGAGGTGTTACAAGAGAAGGCTGCTTGGAGGTTTCCACGTTTACGCAAGAAAAGAATTCCAGATGTGAGGCAGAAGGTAGTGGTAAGCATGGTAGCCAAGATTAATGAACAGAATGCACCTGACGGACCAGGCAGGCATCTCGGGAAAGAACTGAGGGCCCAGCCTGCATTCAGACTGGAGTTTTTACAGATATGGGTGTGGCCGTGGCCCAGTGTTTCCCACTCCCCTTTCTGGGATACTGGTGGACAGAGGGCTTTCAAGAGCATGGAATTTGTGAAATTCCTCCCGGGACTTATCAGCATGGTGTTCCTGGACCTGGTAGTTGCCCCTTGGTGCAGGGCAGGGAAGATTCCTCTAAGCTGCCCCTGGGACCCACCTAACAAGGTTCCAAGACTTCTGACATGCAAACACTGGTCCACTTTCAAGGCTTGCTTGTGCCTTTCTTTCTTCATTCAATTGCACAGAAATTCCCATTTTGGATCAGTCTCTCTCACACACAGAGGCTAATGTCTACCTTGCCGGCTCATGCCACCAGCCTCTGTGACTCTGGGGTTCTGGGGTCTGGCAGGTGCTCTGGACGTGGAGTGCCAGGGAAGAGGAGGACAGGCAGCAAGGTCTTCGTCTGTATGCAGTAGAGTGTCCATGGCGGGGTGGGGGTGGGTGGGGGGTAAGGGGTGGAGTGGGGTGCTGGGATTCTCCTGATCCCTGGATAAAAAGAACACTCCAGGGGAGGGCGCCTGTTATCTGAACTCATCCCTCTGCAAACAATGCTCTGCTTCATGCATTCTCTGCTCCTTCTGCAAGGGGAGGGGCCAGCAGTTGGCCATCTATGAGGTCTTCTGGCCTGGTGTGGAGAGCATCTGGACGTACTGTTCTGGGGGAGTCATCTTATCAGGATTCTACCCACGCAACCCCCCCCCCCCCAGCTCAGTATAGGGCTGTGCTACTCAAAATGTAGTTCTCACTGGCATCATCAGAATACTAGGGAAGTGTTAGGAATGCAAATTCTTGGGTCCCACCCCAGACCCAGTAAATCAGAATTTCTGGGTGGCACCCAGGAAGCTGTTTTTTTAAGAAGCCTGCCAGGTGATCTGTAAGTATACAAAAGTTTGAAAAGTACTGATAAATGGAATACACACCCATTGCCTCCCTCACTACACACACACACACACACACACACACACTCACACACACACACACAGAGCTGCCTGCATCTCCCACAGCTGCTAATGGCGCTTGCTCATTTTCCTGGGGTTTCCCTTGGCAAGGCCCTGGGCTTTGTTTTTCTCCACCGTAGATCTCGTTCATTTCCTGCCGCTTCCCAGAGGTTAGGAGAGGAAAGAGAGCGGGAATGAAGGCGGGAGGGAGGGGGACGGGGTTACTTAAGGCAGCAGAGCTTGCAAGAACCAAAAGGAAAATGCTCCGTGACAATGTTCCTTTGTGAAAAGTTGAGCTTTATGTTGATGGAGCTGCAAGTCATTAGCAGCCGAAGCACACGGCGGGAGCTGCCCCGGTCACTCTCCGGGGCCTGATCGCCCTCTGCTGCCGATGGATAAATAACGCTCTGGGGCCACAGCTTGCCAAGGAAAAGAGGAAGAGTCTCTGGGGCCCGGGTGGGGAAGAGGACGTGACCAAGGCCAAAAAGTCATGAGGTCCCCACTTCAGGCTGCGAAGAATCTTGTTTGCAGGAAAAGAGGCCGTAGCCAATCTGCGGATGTTTCCAGGACTCATCCGACAAACAGTGGGGTCCTGCCAAGAGCTCCCTGGCTCCCAGGATTCCCGGCTCAGAGCCTGCGCTGGCTCTGCAACCCTCTCGCAGCCTGCCTGCCACCGTCACCTTGAGCAGGAAGAGTGTTTAAAACAGGGAGAGGCACAGGCAAGAGCAAAAGCGATAGGACTCTTTGGTGTGGGGCATTGAGGGGCATTGAGGGTCCAGCCCAGAGTTTTCCTTTTCTTTCCTAATCTCCTTGTCTCAGGCTCGCTTTGTTTCCTTTGTCTCGGTGAAAGCCCTCTGTCTTTGGGTCTTTCCTCTGCCAGGGAACTCTGGCCCCACAGCTGTGGAGTCAGCCCTTCTCTCCAACTTTATTGCCCCACTTTATGGCAGCGGGGAGGGCTGGTTCATGTGGGTCACCGGTGGAGAGAGCAAAGATTTGTTCCCAGAAGAAAAGCTCAGGCGCAGCAGTGGCTCCTGCCAGCCATGGGCAGTGACCCATTTCCTGCTACCTCCTTCCCCTGCTCCTTCCCAGCCAGCTCGGCCTGCAGCTGGCCTGGGGCTGGTCCCACAACCCCGCCCCCTCTCTTGGGACTTCTGTAGAGCGAGGGGCTCCCGCTGGGGAGATACCCTCATGGCCAGGTCTGGAAAATTACTTAAACTGCCCTCTAAGAGCTGGGTGGGGGGAGGGGAGGGTGGGGGTGAGAGTGCAGGCAGAGAGGGTGAAGAGCCAGGTCCTTGAGAATTTTCTGGCCGCACCCTGACATCCCCCCGAACCATGCCCGACACGGGGTGAGTCCACCTACACCAGGCCCTTCACCCAAGACAAACACTTCTGGATGGAAACCTGATTGCTTGGTTTTCAGTCTGTCTGGGACCAAATATCTGGCTCTCTGGACCACTGTATTTGGATACATTTATCTGTGTGACCCAAAATATATGCTGGTTATCTACATGTATTAAAATCAGAGCATCTGCTACACTGCCTTGAGGTCATGATCCTTGAAGGGCAATTTCAACTCCCATAAGTAATTCCCTGTGAGCAATTTTATGCCTGGAATTGGACCAGAGGTCCAAGAAGGGGCAGGATTGCGGGCACTTTGGCTGGCAGAGAGGTGATCTGGTCTCTGCGCACACAGACAGGCAGAGATCAAGTGAAAAAGAATGGTTATGAGAAGGCACGAACAGCTACATAATTCGCAGGGCCCAGTACAAAACACAAATACATGCAGTGCCCCTCATTCTAAAATTAAGAATCTCAAGATGGTAATAGTGGAATATTCAATTAAGCCTGAAGCCCCTTCTTCTTCTTTTGTTTTTTTTTTTTTTTGTTTGTTTGTTTGTTTGTTTTCCTGAAAGATTTATTGGGGACGGTGCTGTGGTGCAGCAAGTTGAGCTGTGATCTACAGCGCCGGTCTCCAATTTTGGCACTGGTTTGAGACCTCACTGCTCCACTTCCAATCCAGCTCTCTGCTAATGCATCTGGGAAAGCAGCAAAAGATGGCCCAAGTGCTTGGGTCCCTGCACCCACATGGGAAACCCAGAAGAATCCCCTGGTTCCTGGCTTCGGCCTGGCCCAGCCCCGGCTGTTGTGGTCATTTGGGGAGTGAACCAACAGATGCAGGATACCTCTCTCTCTCTCTACCTCTGGATTTCAAATAAATTTAAAAAATTTTTAAAAAGATTTATTTATTTATTTATTTGAAAGTCAGAATTACACAGAGAAAGAAGGAGAGGCAGAGAGAGAGAGGTCTTCCATCTGCTGGTTCACTCCCCAGATGGCCGCAACGGTTGGAGCTGAGGTGATCCAAAGCCAGGATCCAGGAGCTTCTTCTGGGTCTCCCACTCGGGTGCAGGGGCCCAAGGACTTGGGCCATCTTCTAGTGCTTTCCCAGGCCACAGCAGAGTGCTGGATCGGAAGTGGAGCAGCCGGGACTTGAACTGGTGGCCATATGGGATGCTGGCACTGTGGCATAGTGGGTAATTTTTTTTTTTATTTAAAAACATTTATTTATTTTGAAAATCAGAGTTATACAGAGAGAAGGAGAGACACAGAGACAGAGAGATCTTCCATGCACTAGTTTACTCCCCAGATGGCCCAAAGCTTCTTCCGACTCTTCCGTGTGGGTCATCTTCTGGGCCATCTTCTGCTGCTTTCCCAGGTGCATTAGTAGAGAGCTGGATCGGAAGTGGAACAGCCGGGAATGGGACCAGTGCCCATGAGGGATATGGGTGTCCCAGGTGACAGATTCACCTGCTACGCCATAATGCCGGCCCCCAGAGTCCCCTTCAAGTGTGAGGTCCAGTGTGATGGCACAGGTCACAGACGTAAGAACCCCGCTCTGGCAGGTTGTCCTCTAAAGCAGGGTGAGGGCAAACGGTCTTGGGGAGCAGTGGTGCTTCCCGTCCAGTTTAGTGTCATTTTCTGTGATCCTTAGCGCATCCGTCAGGCTTTGCTTCTGCACCCCCTAGTTGGTCTTAAGTGTTCTTTGGAGAGTAAAAGCAGAGCTTGGGTGCAGGCTTGGGGAGACTCACCCAGGGAAGAGCAGTAGCAGTGTCAGGCAGATTGTGACAGGTGACCTTCAGCTATGGAGCTGCAGCAAGTGTGGAGAGAGGCGGGGGGAAGGGGGGGCGGCGGGGGGAGAGAGAAAGAGAGTCTTCCATCATCTTGTTCACTCTCCAAATGCCTGCAAGGTAGCCAGGCTGAAGCCAGGAGCCAGGAACTCCATCTGGGTCTCCCACGTCACCGGGTGGCAGGGCCCAAGCACCTGCTGCTTTCCCAGGCACATTAGCAGTGACCTGGATTGGAAGTAAAACAACCAGGACTCAAACTGGCGCCCATGTGGGATGCCAGCATTATAGGCAGCCACTTAACTCAGCCACAACGGCTCCCATGCCTCCACCCGTCCCCACCACCACCTGCCCTGGCCCCTGGCAGGCTTTCTTAGGAAAACTGCAAATGCCAGCAACATCCAGGCTTCCTGCCACAAACAAACCAGAAGGAAAAGGGAAATCTGGTAAGGATCAGCTTCTCATTTTCAGCAGAGAATGACTCGGAGTCCTTGGAATGTGTATACTAAGGAGCGTATGACCTGGTTCTGCGGCCCCGGGCTGGTGAGGTCTTGGAACTCCTGGCTGTGTAATCAGGTGTAAGTGGGATGATGCGTTCCACAGTTTGTTGTCTACGTGCAGTCTTTTATTTTTCTTGTAATCGCTTGAGACCATAAAGCCTGTAAGGGCAGGGAGTCCAGTATCTCCCTGGAGATCCTCTAACCCTCTCCAAATTGTCGGAGAACTCAGGGGCTCCAGCTTGTCTGGCCAGGTCCTTGGGAGAGCGTGGGGGAGGCCGTGTTCTGGTGTTTACCGAGGCTGCAGACTGCGCTGCTCCGGTTCTGCTTTCTTTCCTTCCCCTCCCAGATAGAATCAGTGTTGTATCTGGGGGTGAATGAGCTAACTACATCCTTCCTGACTTCTTTCTCAGAATTAGGAAACCCTGATTAGCATCCAGAGCTGCATTTGGGGAGCAGCAGGCTAAGCTGTTGCTTGCAATACCAGTGTCTCATATGGAAGCTCTGATTCAAGTAGTGGCTGCTCCATTTCTGATCCAGCTCGCTGCTGATCACAGCTCCCTGGGCCTGGGAAGCCAGCAGAAGACGGTCCAAGTGCTTGGGTCCCTACCATCCACGTAGCATCAGACCTGGCTGTTGCAGCCATTTGGGGAGTGAGCCAGCAGATGGAAGATATCTCTGTCTCTTCTTTCTTTTTTTTTTTTTTTTTTTTTGACAGGCAGAGTGGACAGTGAGAGAGAGAGACAGAGAGAAAGGTCTTCCTTTTGCCGTTGGTTCACCCTCCAATGGCCGCCGCGGCTGGCGCGCTGCGGCTGGCGCACCGCGCTGATCCGATGGCAGGAGCCAGGAGCCAGGTGCTTTTCCTGGTCTCCCATGGGGTGCAGGGCCCAAGCACCTGGGCCATCCTCCACTGCATTCCCTGGCCACAGCAGAGAGCTGGCCTGGAAGAGGGACAACCGGGACAGAATCCGGCGCCCCGACCGGGACTAGAACCCGGTGTGCAGGCGCCGCTAGGCGGAGGATTAGCCTAGTGAGCCGCGGCGCCGGCCTCTGTCTCTTCTTTCTGTCTCTGTCTCTCCCTCTCCCCTTTCTCTTTACCACTCTGCCTTTCAAATAAATCCATAAATCTTTTTTAAAAAGAACTTAAGTTTTCATAGTTATCAAGTCATTAAAATATCAAGACCTAGGCAACAAAAATGAAATTAAACATTAAGGAAGATAAAATATGTTTAAATAGGTTTACAATATATATTTAAGATGCATTAAAATATGTATTTATATAAGTCACAATAATTAAAATTGCCATTTACAACAATAATTTATTGTTGCTGCTTCTTTTTTTAAAAAAAGTATTTTATTTATTTGAAAAGCAGAGTTACAGAGAGAGAGATCCTCCATCTCCTGGTTCACTCCCCAAATGACAGCAATGGCCAGGGCTGGGCCAGGCTGAAGCCAGGAGCCAGAAGCTTCTCCTGGGTCTCCCATGTGTGTTCAGAGGCTGGAGGACTTGGGCCATCTTTTGCTGCTTTTCCAAGATCAGTAGCAGGAATTTGGACTGGAAATGGAGCACAGCAGCCAGAAATGAACCAGTGCCCATATGGGGTGCTGATGTTACAGGCGGCAGCTCAATCCATTACACCACAATGCTGGCCCCTGCTGCTGCTTCCTTTTAAGGGAGTTGACAAAATACAAGTTGATGGAGAAACAGATCTGTTTTGGTTCTTGCTCACCCCAAAGCTCGTTGGGGAAGTGGAAAGGAAGAGATTTCAAAGTGGCCTTTAAGGGGTTGGATGTGGGGGACATGCTCACAGGCCAGCAGCACACAAGTCACAAGGCTAGCTGGGCAAGGAAGCCTTAGGCTGGAGTTGTGCGTAGAGAAGTCGGCTGCTTTGCCTACCAATGTGGGGCACCAAGCTTCCAGGAAGGTCAAGGGCAGAGGCACCTGAAGAGTGGAGGAGCAAGGAGGCTCTGGGAAGGAAAGGATGGTCATGCTCAGCTCTGCGCTGTTTGTCTTTCCACACTGCAACCCCTCCCGCTCCCCATGTCTGCACACACACGAGTGCCTTGAGCTGGCAACTAAGAAAACAAAACATGTGCGATGCTTGTGTCATTCACTCTTCCAAGAAGAATTTATGTAATCCTCGCAGGACTCTTATTATTCTGTTTTTGTGGTTGAAGAAACAGGCATAGAGAGACTGAGTAAGTTGCCTAAGGTTGCTCAGGGTAGATGTATTTAGAAACTCCACTGGATAGGAATGTGCCATTATTTATTTTCACTAGGTCCAAAGCATTATACCTGGAATACAGAGAAATTTGTGGACCTGGACTGACTGTTGTTGATCTGTGTTCTGTTTTTCCCATTAAACTAAGGGAGCACTGGAGGGTAAAACTCCACCCACTGGTACTGTGAAATAACAAGAGACCAACAGGTAGAGGGCACAGCAGTGCAAAACCCCCAGGGACAAGGCCGGGATGAGCCTGGGGTGAGGATGTGGACACTCTCCGAAATCTCTGAGCCCAGAGGTTTTTGTTTTTATGATTGATGATTGATTTGAAAGGCAGAGTGACAGATATATATATGTATATATATACATATATATATTGAGAGAGAGAGAGAGAATGAATCTTCCATCCAGTGATTTACTGCCTAAATGCCTGCAGCAACTAGGGATGGGCTAGACTGAAGCCAGGAACCAGGCACTCCATTTGGTCTCCTTCATGGGCGGCAGGGGCCCAAGCATTTGGGCATTTGGGCAATCATTGTTGTCTTTCCCAGAGCCTTAGCAGGGAGCTGGATTGGAAGTGCAGGAGTGGTGGTGACCAAATTCCCTGTACCACATCGCCTGACTCTGGGCAAAGAGGATTCTAGTCCACTGTACAGTGGTTTCAGGGAGGATGGTCAGCAATGATCACCCCTTGAATGGAAAGTTATAGATATTTTAACTTTAAAAAATATTTATTTATTTGAGAGGCAGATGCACTGACACAGAGAGGGAAAGACAGAGAGAGAGAGAGAGAGAGAGAGAGAGGTCATCCATCTGCTGTTTCACACTCCAGATGGCTGTAATGGCAGGTGCTGGGCCCATAAGATCCAGGAGCTTCTTCTGGGTCTCCCACGTGGGTGCAAGGTCCCAAGTGCTTGGGCCATCTTCCACTGCTTTCTCAGGCCATTAGCAGGGAGCTGGACCTGAAGTGGAGCAGCCTGGACTGGAACCGGTGCCCATATGGGATGCAAGCACCATAGGTGGAGGCTTAACCTACTACACCACAGCACCAGTCCCAGTTAGTTTAATTTTTAAAAACTTTTTATGGGTTAAGCTGCAACCTGCAATGCCATATGGGTGCTGGTTTGAGTCCCAGTTTCTCTGCTTCTGATCCAGCTCCCTGCTAATGTGGCTGGGAAAGCAGCAGCAGATGGCCCAAGTTTCTGTGTTCCTGCTACGCCTGTGGGAGACCAGGAATGAGCTCCTGGCTTCAGTCTGGCCCAGCCACGGCCATTGTAGACATTTGGGGAGTGAACCAGGATGGAAGTTCTCTCTCTGTCTCTCCATCTCTCTCTCTCTCCCTCTCTCTGTAGCTGTTTTTCAAATAAAATAAGTAAATATTTAAAATAAATAAATAAGTAAAAACTTTAAAAAATTCTCAAGGAATTGTGGTAAAAATTAAAGGGTGTCGGAAGGTTGAAAACATGAAACCATTATCATTAATTTCATAAAAGAGAAAAAGGGGAAGGCGGTGGGTTCCAGAGCCTCACAACAGGAAGTGGGATGCTTACTCTAGGTGGGGCAAGTCTCAGAATAGTATATCAGATAGTTTATAACAGTATATTAGATAGTTGTCGATACTTCATTTCAGAAAGATGCTGACACTTAGAATGTGTGTGAGTTTTCCAGGAATATTTCACATCAATTTTTCATGTTGTTTATGTTTGATAAAATTATCAGATATATAAACTAGGGAGATACCTAAATTAGTGCAATGTCACATACTGTATTTTTATTTTAATATCACTTTGGAAATGATTAAAAAAAACTGACAGGATTCTAGTAAATTTTCTTGGGTTGTGAGGGTTAAATATTTCATGGCTGTGTGTGTGTGAATTGATTTAAAGCTTCTTCATCATATCTCAGCTTGTGTTTTCATAAGGACTTAAGAAGGCATTCTTATGAAACTTGTAGATGAAAAATTTGGGAATATATATTTAAGGAATTGGATAAGAGGGTCAAAATTCAAGAAGCTCTTGTTATTTTAAAGTAATTATCCCAAACCAATACGGATAGTATTGTGTTCTGCAATGAAGTCTAGAAATTGATTAAGCAAATAGGAGCCTGTGAAGGAACCCCCAGAGTGGGGTTCTTAATTGTTTTTCATGGGACTGCTGAGATAGGCAAACAACTAAGGAAATCCGGAGCCCCTCACCCCCACAAGCCACCTCTGGAGCTCTGTGTGTGGCTGAGTGATGCACTTGAACAGAGTCCTTCAAAAACAGGGGCTACTCAATGAGGTGGTAACCCACAATTTTTATGTAATTATTTTTGTAAATGTTTATTTTATTTATTTGAAAGGTAGAGTTACAGAGAGAGAGAGAGAGAGAGGCAGAGAGAGAAAGAGAGAGATCTGTTGGTTCGCTCCCCCAAATGACTTCAACAGCCAGGGCCGGGCCAGGCCAAAGCCAGGAGCCAGGAGCCAGGAGCCAGGAACTTCATCCTGGTCTTCCATGTAGGTACAGGA